TTTCCTGTTATTAAGCCAGGATGAAAAGAAGCAGAGGAAGTGAAACTGCTTTGAATTGCTGTTTTTTATCTGTTCTATCTGTGTGTGTTTTATTTCCTGATTCCAGCTTCTCACTTGTAAGAATTTTATGCTTTTATCACTGTAAACTGAATACCTTAGGGTGTTAGACTGCAATGTGAATCATTTTGAAGACAATGCCTTGAACTCTAGATAGAGTTATTAATCCACAATACAATCATTAGTTGTGACAAACAACCTCCAAAATATGAACGTTTCCTGCATGCAGCTAACACAAAATGCTGCTGCACAGCTGTTAATCAAAACTAAAAAGTAGTTATCATATCACACCAAGTCTTGCTTCTCTTCAATGGCTTCCTGTGAAGTCAACAAAAAACAAACACCTGTGTGATCTGCATCAGCAGCATTTATGTTGAGGGTTATTCACCAACAGTAATTTAAGAATGGAGTTTCAACTTGGGCATTTTTTCCCTGGGGAAAAAAGTACAGCATGGATGCAAGACAAGAGAAGACAGCAGTGCAGAGGACCCTGCTGCTGATGTTTTACATCCTCCGATCTGAAAGGTAAACAGGACCAACGTTTACTTTAATAAGAAGCTCTCAGCGGACAGGCAGGCTTCATCTACAGTGCACGATCCGACACTGGAGTTTCCCTTGTAGAAAAACAGGAAGGCTCCAGAGAAATCCTCACATACCACTGAAATGACAGGTTAGGGAACGATACACAATATAAATATAATAATATTTTATTGCTTCAGAGTGAGACACTGCATATTCCTGAATTGATATGAAGTAGAAATTGCTGAAATCTCCATGCAGTTACAGAAATTGCTGAAAACACCTACAGCGCAATATGACTGTTTGGGGGGTTTGTGACTGTTTGTCGAACAAATTGAGCAATGTAAAGCTGAACCCTTGGATTCTGGAAAAAGAGTGGTATAAATTTTATAGATTAAATGTTGAAAAATCCAATCTAATTGCTAATCAAAATAATTTTTAGTTGCAGTTCAAGAATTGTTTAAACTGATTTTATATTCTTGGGCATGACGGTAATGAAATTAATAACACAAATGATTAACAATACTATTATCTGCACCCCATTTCTAGAGCCTACATCAGCCAGTCGAGTAGGATTTACTGTCTCATGTTGTCATTTTCTAAACTGCTGAAACATTTCATGTGGATACATGAAAGACTGACAGGAACAGAGATGTGGTTTTCTAATCTGGTTATCACAGCAAAGCCACCAACTTATCATCACTGCACTGATGACTTCCGCCGTTTCACTACTTCCTCACAAACATCCACTTGCTGTCTGTCGACTCCAGCTTTGCTCTATTTCAGAGAATAAAAAAAAAAAAAAAAAAAAGGTTTCATTTGCTTGCTCTCATTTTCTAAACTTAAAGGCAGGCTGTCTCAGTAAAACTGAAACACTTACAGATGTGGTTTGAAGGTAAGAGGCTCAGTGAGTCTAAAACTCAGCAAGTCATAAATGGGTTAAACCATTTCCTCAGAGAGGGGGATTCCCAGCCCCACATGCTTAGTGTGGTCTTACCCCGGACTTTTAAAAATTCCTTCTGCCTCTTTCTTCAGCTCTGATTTGATTTTTCCTTTACCTCCCACCGTTTAATGGAAACTGAAACACTGTGACATCTGACCTTTTTACTCTTCGTTGATGTTAATGAAGTTTAGATTATTCTAATGTGTTGTTGTTTTTTGCAGTCATGTTTTTGCTTCTATAATTTCAGATACGCTGATAGCTGATGTTTTCTTCTTGACGAATGTCTTCAATTAACTGACTTATTTTGCTTTTAATTTGGCTTTGTCGAGGGGGAAAAAAAGAGGACAATTTCCGACATTGTAAACATCACATTACCTAAATAAATGAGAAGTACTTGTTACTATCAAGAATAAGGCTGATCACCGCAAGAGTATCAAGAAAATCGCATGGGAAACAAGTGAAATTGAAAACATACGGACAGATGTTTTCACTTAGAAGTAAAAATTTCAACAAAAAAAAATTAAGATGGGGATTTTTGAACACCAGATTTCCTAGATGTTTATGATCTAACATGTACTTTGTCAAACAATGTGGAGAGATACATTGAGGTCCTTCAGAATTTGTCTTACAACTAAACAAAAACACTGTGGTGAATGCTTCTCTGTTTTCTGAGTTAGATTCTCGTTTCCTGTATTTTCTCTCTCTCTCCACCCCCCACCACCCTATTTTATTTTTCCATCCCAACAGCTGTTGTCGGTGCACACAGCTGCAACAAACCTCAGTCAGCCACACTCTGCAGCCATTCGCTGGCCTGGGAAGCCCAACCAATCACCAAGTGCTGAGGATCAAGTGCACTTGTGCAGACCCAAACACGCACATGCATGCTTTTGGGTCAGATGTTTGTGAGGCAGGCAGTGCAGACACAAACAGAGCTTGGTTCTTTCTCGCTCAAACTTGCATGGCACACGTGGTTGTGATTCACCGAATCCTGAGGAACTAAACTCAAAATGTCAAGGTTAATTTGTGTTCCAGTGCATCTGAGCATTTCCACAACCCCTTGTCCCCTGCTTTAATGTAACGTTTACAGCAGCCACCATCCTCCCCGAGCCAAAAAAACCCCAAATAAAACAAAAAGAAAAAACTCAAAGCAAATCAAGATGTGATTTCAGTGGTGCCGCTTTCTCCTAGCACAAAAAATATAACCTAATGCATGCATACGACAGTCATTGTGCATAATTATCAGGACACATTTCATTGTTCACACTGAGGTAACAGCAGAGCAGGGGTTCACTGAGGCTCGCCTCAGGGCCGTCCTCATTGTCCATGACCATAAAGTCTGATTCAAAGTGACACTCTTCTCAGAAGTGGAATCGCTGAAGGCCGCTGGTCACTTTGTAATCCTCAGGAGGCAGAACTGGAGATACAGTAGACCTTGAGATAGCTCTGTGGACACTGAGGCCACACAGAACTTGTGTAAAAAAAGCCTGCAAGGTCTTGTTTACCCTTAAACATGTGAGCGAGCCAGTGCCAACAGTTTAGGTTCCTGCTCAGACTCCTGGATGTTTATTATGCCGTTACTCTGATCGTCATGTGACAGAAATGGTACTAATGTGCATGAGATTACAGACGATTTATGTTCAGACAATGATGATTCAGTGTCAACATCTTATGACCTAATTTTGTTGCAGCAGTTCCAGTGAGTAACATCCCCTTCAGCTGTGCACATAAAGGCCCAAAATGGCTCCTCATATAGACCTATATTTTGAAGTTTCCAGGAGCACGCCATACTGTTTGTTAGTTAATTTGTGTTAAGTTTCCCATAAACATCAGCCGATAAACTGCTAAGCAATAGCCAGTTTATGTCATACAGGAAGAAGAATAAAGATCAAAATATACTTTCCGCATATCATCTGCTCATGTCTGCAAGGGTCCATGTGGACACTAGTGGACTTGTGCATCCCCAAATTATGACTGTGCTGACTGTATGTTACTGCAGGACTGCACTGTGTGAACGTACACCCGATACAGCATAAACAGAACCACATCCACAGTGCCTGCCTCTATTTTGGACTCTTTCAGAGCCACATGGAAGCATGTATGACATTTAAACTCAACCATACACACACACACACACACACACACACACACACAGTAGCGTGTTGCTCTCAAGTAGAGCTGATTATAATACTGTAAATATAGTAACATAGCTCGTACAAGTCTGAAGCTGTCATAAGAAATTTACACATATCCACCTACAAGGATGATGTGAAAATCATCATTTAGGGTGCACTGCTATCCAGCTTCACAATATCAACTTGTCTCCAGGTGTATATTCTCATTTTGAAGTGACTGAATCACCTCTGGCTCTGCTTCGCTAATGCAGCCATCAATGTCATGTGGAGGTTGGTATATTTAGCAGAGCATACAGCATCCAAGTGGTAAGTATGACTGGTAATCTCGTTTTAGAGAAAGCTTGGGCATATCCAACAAAGTCCATAATTCATGGTAAGTAAACCATAATGTAATGCTTCTTTGGTAAATGTTGAACGTTTCTCCCCCTCTGATTACAGGTCATATGACATTAACATGACATAATTCCAAACAAAGCATGTTCAGAAATGCCAAGGCTTTGATAAAGTACACCAACACTGTGGTTTGCAATCTGCCACATACAACAACAATGCACATTTCCTCACATGAGAGAGCCGCATGCGATTACCTTCAAATGAAACGCTCAGTAAATGCCTGGGCAGATCCTGTAGCTCTGACCCAGTCATCCTCTTTCCTCTGCTCTCATTTATACAAGGCAACAGCAGGATGATGTCGCTGCTCATCTCTGATGGAGCACTGGAGGTGGAAATCTGGGCTGCAGGAGAACCAGGTCTCCATCAAATACCTTTTCCTCTGTTTGTGTGTGTGTGCGATCAGTGCTATCCCCATTAATGCAACACAGAGCCACTCCAGCAAAAGGCCTGCTGTGCAATGGTGTGAACAAATGCGCAATGAAACACCGCCCACCCAATGGCGCACAAGTCGGTCAGCGTGGTAAAGGCTGTCATGCACGGATGGGGTTGGCCTGATCAATGCAATGCAAAGCATACAGTATGCAAGGCATATTTTACTGGGGTGTGGATGAGAGGAGGAGGAGACGGCAGTGGGGGGGGGGGGACCAAAATAGGTGTACTGGGATGATGTTTGCATTGCTAAAATAAAAAAATAGGCTAATGAATAGATGTGAAGCAGCGAGAGGCCCAAACGCTATCAGAGAGATAATCCAGTCCAGACCGCACCGGTCCCAAGTGAGGAGGGGAGGGGGCATGTTATAATAAACGTTTTCCTAAGACCGTGAGAGAGGAAAAAATACATAAATGCATGTTTGCGCTTCAGTTTCCGCCCGTTTGTTCTCTAGGTTGGGCTTTAACACACACACACACACACACACACACACCACACACAAGTAGAGATGGAGGCTCACACCAACCTTGTAGACTTGTCCATAGGTGCCATTTCCAACCACTTCCACCAACTCGAAAATCCCAGCAGGATCCTGTATTTTTTAAGCAGAAAAACAAACAAATAAAATAATTGATTAAGTGTAACGTTAGTATTTACAAGTGGGTTCGTTCGATGTAGGAGTCAGCTGCGCCCGGTCTGCTGGCCTCGCATGCCAGCAGTATTTGGACAAAGAAAAGCCACCGCAGGGCTGTGTCAACAACAGCACTGCATACGACGTGGTTGTGTTTTTATTTGTGAATATGAAAAAATTTAAATGTACTCTGAAAATGTCTGTGTAACACACACTCACCCTGAGGGATGCGAGGTCTATATCCACCAGACTTTTGGCCGGGAGTCGTTCGCCATTTTCGTAAAAAACTGTGATAAATCAGCGGAATATCGGCGTGTTTTTTATTCTCCTTCAGGCGGAAGGTGTGCGTCGCATCCTCGGGTGGTCTTATTTTAATCCAGTTGGTGATATTTTCTATCCAAGGCGCGTTTTTACCTCTTTGTAATCCCCGGCAGAAGCTCCGCTGCTGCTACATACCGACCAACTGCCGGAGCCCAGCCTGCTCCCTCGCTCTCGCTCTCTCTCTCTCTCTCTCTCTCTGTATGTCTCTCTGCCTGTATTCTCCGCCCTCGCTGTCTGTCCGCATGTCTCTCTGTCCCCCTCTCTCTCTTCATTCTCCCCCCACCCCTCTCTCTCTCTCTCAAACAGGGACTGCACAAGAAATTTTGGGGCCCTGAGCAGAATTTCATTGGCTCCTCACATCTAAAGAGGGGCGCTGTAAATTGACCAATCCTCAGCCTGTAATAGGTGCGTTAGAGATGACTGCAGGGTTGAATTCAGCACTGACAAAACGTAGCAAAACGTTTTTTCAACGGAAACAGTGGTGCCTTGAACACCATGTTGTGCAAACAAGAGCAATGCATTTTACACACAGTTGTGTTTACAAAGTTGGCGACAAACAACAAACAGGAGAAAACATAACTCGAAACCCAAATCCACAACGTTTCAAGGACATCCGAAAACATTGCAAACTGTCTGTTTTGGGATTGCTGACCTTCACCAACTTGATAGACAAAAGTGAGCTACAGGCGACTACAGGGATGGGGTATAAAAACACTGCAATCAAGTCGGATACATTCTACTTCCCCTAGAGTTTGTGAGCTTAGAACAATGGCTGACCTCGCAGCATTTGCCTCTTTTTTTGTCGCAGATGAAATCGATGCATTTGAAATCGATGCATTTGAAATCCTGTATTTTTGCCTGAGGAATAAAATGAACAGCAAAGGTGTTTTTTTTATGTACATAAGTGTTATCCTCAATATGACTGATTTGCAAAACCTATACACTAAGGTTTACTGACTCCAAAATATGTTGTTTAGACTATCGTCAGGCAGGAAACAAGTTCAGTTTTGACACACTCCCAGTATCTTATGAAAACATCTTAGGCAATGGGTTAAGGTGTATAGGCTAGTGCCGAGGCTACTGTTAAAAAAGGGCCACCATAGTAGGTGCAAATACTTAACATCTTTTACAATAACACTCCTGAAGTGTTTTGTAAGCTTTTGCAAGGATTTGAAAACTATAGTGTAAAACGGTGACCACACTTTAAAAGTGAGCTGCCAGAAGGAGATCAAATACATTGCATCCCCTTCAGAAGAGATAACGAATCTGAAGCTCTTAGAATAATAACAACACACAAGTCGTGCGTGTCTGTGAAGTCTTAAAACCAATGAGGGTAGTTCTGTCATCATAGAAGTGCTTCCCACTTTGTGCAGCCGTAAAAAAGTCTCCCCCAAGGCTTTAATGTCATGTGACATTGTGCCGTTTTGCAGCGGCCGAAAAAGTCAGACACAATTTCTAGCCAGCATGACTTACCCTCTTGGAAACAGACACCTATTTCCAGGAAAAACTCCTAAAATACCAGAACCAAAATGAATCAGTAATAACTCCTCAACCGTTAGGCCTAGATGCATAATTCTCCTTTGAAACGTCAGAAGCTAAGGAATATGAATCAAGTGTAAATAAACCTATTTATTTTTCAATTAAAAGGTAAATGGAGATATATTTTAATAGCAATATCACTATCAAAACCATCATCCTGTAGATTAAAATGCTACTGTAGGCCCACAACTTGAAAACAGAACATCCTTGGTGTATTGGATGTCTGTGTAGCTCCTATGGGTCAGCCTGTAGACGGCAATAAAGACCATCTGTTCCTGAGCAACACTTCTTCTCTCCTTCATTTTGATGAGAGAAACGAAACCTAACAGCTCAGGGATTGCACAATACCAAGGTGGTGGCCCGGGCGAAATTTTCACATACAGAAAACAGCTGTTTTTGGACGAAAACAACAAAAATGGCAAAGGCAAATTAGTGGTTGTAACTCTATATGTATTGTGCGTTTGTTGTTATTATTATCTGGCTAATGACTCTGTGAGTTTTGTGATTTGAGTGATATGAGTTACACAACTGATCAGAGTTGGGGCTGAGCTTTCTTTAGAGTGGTCGGACTGTGGTGTAGGATGAGATTAGAGATATCTGGATAGCAATAACTGCAGCCATGTACACCCATTACAGAGCGATTTATGTTGTGATATAAGCTCATTTAGATGCTTGGTGTTTGATGTGTGGGGAAAATAATACCTGCACCTCAATACAGAAATAATAGAGCCTGATTGTGATGTTGAGGCGTCAGAGACACTCCTGCACAGATTATCTGTAACTTGGATGATGTTAGACTTGAGGAAATGAATGAATAACCAGGTTTATGTTCCACATCATATCCAGAATAAGATTAAAACCAGGATAAGACATGGCAGGAACTGGTGTAGTAAGTGCAAAGGTACTATTAGACCTTTTTCACAGCAGACATTTTTACTTGTCACAGTAGGAAAAGTACATGTGATAAACATTTTGTTAATGATAGCTCAGTTCCACTGAAAGTGACTCACATCACCTTTAATGTTACCAATAACACCTATGCCTTTCCTGCTATGACATGCCATAATGTCTGCTGTGAAAGAGATCTATGGACAGATGATGTGGATGAAATGACACCGAATATATATGATAAATACTGTGAAAGTATTCTAATTCCTAAAAAATATTATAAAGAAAAGATCAGTCCCCTGGCTGCCAGTGGAATTCTGGCCTAAAACGTTCAGAAACAGCCTTGACTAAGTGGAGACCACAAAAACTGTGGGTGGCCAGCTTGAGCAGTGTTATCTCCTTCTGATGCCGGTGGAGTTTGTTGCAGTTTCAAACCAGCATTAAGCAAGAAAAACTGTAGTGTTGTGGTGGTGCTATCAACATCAAAACCTTTGCCATACCTGTGACTGTTATTAACCACACAATCACGTGTAAACCCAGCCTTAGGGAAGAAAAACACAGAACCGTGACAAGCTGGAGCCAATATAGGAAATAAATCAACATTATCTGCTTGTGTTTCCACCGCATGTGAAGAACTGTGAAAAATGAATTCACAAATATAGTGCTATAATTCAATATTTAACACCAATGACAATTGTGATATGTAAATATGTATCTGACTTGCACTCTTACTTAGGGTTGATTTAGGTGTTTTACAGTGTATTACATGAACTATTTTGTCAACCTCTTCCTTTCCCTCCATGTCTCTTCCTCTCTCAGCCGTTGTTTGCATCCCCCGCTTTGTCTCCCCATCAGATAGATACAGAGCAATTAGAGCGTGTGAAATGGAAACAGTGATAAATATTTCAGTACTGCTGTCACTGCTCTGCTGATCTGTTGAAAGGTATGATATCCAGACAGGCTGCATTATATTCTACTACCATCACTTGTCAACTGCCCATTTTGATTTTGGTTAGCAAACGTACTTACATTAAGAACCACATGCCGATAACATACAATGTAATTTCACTAATCTAGTTTCCAAGTTGTATTCTGAATTTGTGTGAACTGGTATGATTGGTAATGTCTTCAAGTTGATGTCATCCAACAGTAAAATTTCAGGTTGGACCAGTGATGACTAATATTTGAGGGTAAGTCAGAAACTATTGAAGTAAAGGTCGCCAGGGCTTGTACCTTTTGAAGACACTTTGGAGTTTCTATGTTCTTTTAAAACTGTCTGCCTAAAAATTGTGTTCCCATTTTAATAAAACAATACAATTTTCATCAAGATTGCTGACAAGGCAAAACAAATATGCTTATATGAACAGCTGGAGCTGCAGGGAGGAAAAACGTAACAACAAAAAAAGTTAATGGAATCGTGTTAGCATGCTAACATTTGCTTCTTAACAACAAAGTAAGGCTGATGGGAATGTCCCATATGTAGTTTTGCAGGTTTCTTGTCATAAACCAATGTATTGGATAAATTTAAATATAGACCTGATGATGGTGCTAGATAAAATGTCAGGGGATCCATTATTTCATCCTGACAGGGACAGAATACATTTTGGGGGAGATATTTCAGTCTGGAAAGTCTAAAATTGTAGAACGATCAACTGACAGATATTGCCTTTCATAGAGGTGCTAGGGAGGCTAACAAAGGTACTATAAGATTTGTATTCTAACATTGTAATCTAACATACTTGATAAAATGACATTTAGCAATGATTCAAATGGTCCTACCTAATCACAATGAGCTATTCGCTTCTCTTCTCTTTCCCCTCCCACAGTCTGTAAAAACGTGTGCATGCAGTCGATTGCGCTTAAAGATTTTTGTCATTTTCAATTAGTTTTTAATGCAAACGCACAGTGGATTTCTTCTCTTACATCCCTTCTATCTACTCTTAAATGTGTCCATAAAAAAATCTATCTTCTGCTGTAACTTCAATGCTTTCTATTTTCTTTTCCACAGGAATGTGTGCTTCTTTCTAACACAGTTTTACTATTGCCTGTTAATGATGTTGGTTATCCAGATGTTGAAGCTTATTCCACTGCCTCACTCACTTTAATTTTTCTGTCCACAAATGCCAAAAAGAAATTAACATCTGTTGGCACACATTGAACATAAACCACAGGACTTCAGAGTCATTAACAGAAAAGGGCACACATACGCTGATTATCAGTACTACTCTACATACAGTAAGAGTAAAAACAAACAAGACCTAAGTTAGCATGTTATTATCGTATGATTAACGTAACTTTAACTCCAAACCCTTATCCGATCACATTTATTGTAACATTCTCTTGAAAAAGCAAATGTGGATCACAGATCAAACATTCAACAACAGCACATAACAAAAATAGGAAGAAACATAATAAAATAGCAAAAGCATGAGTAAACTATTATTACATCAGATAACATTAATTGCTTTGGATAACATTGTCTAAAGCAGATAATCTAAAATACATTCTCATGCTTTATATAAAATCTTCCAGGCAAGGACTGATGTAGCATGTCATGTTGGTGCACTGCCCTAAAACTTGTGCTTTGGTTTTTCCTTTGAAGGTGACAGAGGGGGACGACCCACAGACATCAAAGTATCACCCACTGGGTGTTCCCTGCTTTCATGTGTTATCTATAGCTAGGATATTTCAAGGATTTCTGGCTATATGGACATCTAAATTACTGAGTGTA